CAAAAAAAAAAAAAAATTGAAGTATTAATTATAAGGATTATTAACTAAATATCTAACCTTTTATGAACAAAACCAATAATATATAGATGTATAATGGTGATAAGTTGAACATAATGGTTACTTGAATGTTGCTGAATGTTGATAGGATGCCTAACCGGAGGAGGTTAATGATCGAATGATTAATTAGTGTCTTATCATTCACTCTAAACCCTATGCGTCTATGATAAATCGATGCTGATTATCTTCTATTAACAAACATCTGCGGTTAGTCAATCAATGTTTGTTGTATATACATCGGCCATACTCCTTATCATATCGATATGTATAATTTATATGAATAAAAAGAAAAAGAATAGAAATTATCATTAAATTTTATTATCACAAATCACAAGACTTGAATTAAAATTTAAACATTTCAATATATTACATGCAAAATATACATCCGATCAATTGATCAATCAATAATCGGCCAGTTGATTATCACAATTATCACGAAAACATTAATATTTGAAATATTTCTTTTTTACAAAATTACTTAATGGTTAACGCTTATTTGAACATTTTTTTAATAATTCAATGGAAAGTTAAAACAAAAGTTGCAAAGAAAAAGATAAAATATGATTTTATTCATTGATTAAGCTTTAAGGAAGCAATTTGCAATTCACATTAGCTTTCAAAACAAAAATAAATAAAATATAAAAGTCAATTTGGAATGAACGTTTTATTTCTAATAATAATTACCTTTTTAAATTAATTATTACCAAATGCAAAGATAAGTGGTACTAAGAGAACGAAATGTTCAGCTACAATTTTTTGACCTATCTATCCTTTCTAGCATTAATTTTCTAAATTTATTTTATAGATCATCATATCACAACTGCATCTTTTTTATCGATAAATCTTAAAAATAATATACAGGTGATGACACACAAAAGTATCAGCAATTATTATACATATTCGACCAGGTAAAAAACAATTAATTAAGTAAATAACTAGAAAAACATCGAAGAGGATTTTAATTTGGATTAACAATTGTCAAAATGCTTCAAGTATTTTGACATATAACTTACTTCAAACTTTTTTACAATTTTTTTTTTAACGTCAAAGATGAACAATTTGTAAATTATATAAATTAGGACAAATAATTTTTATTAGTTTGCTGCGTGAGTTCATATGTTTTAGCTTGCAACTTATCAGTCTTATCATGTAATTTCAGATGAAGTAATCCTTTCGTTTTGTTAATTGCTTTATAACCACATTTAGCACAGTTGTATAATAATCGTTGCTCTTTTGTCTTTTCGTTGACACGATAATGAAATGACGATCTGTAAAGTTATTATTACTCATATATAATATCTGATTTAATTAATGACGCGAGCATGATAATTTCAAAAATTTTTGCAAATACAAAATAACAGTGTCTTAGAATTTTAGAGATAAAATTTAAAAATGTTGATAATTCTTTCAGCAATGTATCATGTAATAATTTTGCTTCATTTTTAAAAATATAAGGAAGATTTGTGTATTTAAATTTACATTATACAAATGAAATTAAGCCATTATTTATATTAAATGATATCTGTTAAATAAAAATTTATTGGGAAAAAAATTCATTTACGACAAAATATGCTAATATACAACGGAATAAAAATTTTTTTAAATTAATGTTTATTATCAAAAAAGTGATTTAAAGAAGTCATTCCAATATTAAGAAAAACCAGCAAAATGTTTGCCTAATTATTTATAATTTAATTTCAAATCAATTATAATCAACAAATTTACCCAATTACAGCAGTTCTCGCATCATCGGTGCAATCAATAAATTTCAAAGGTTTATTCATTCGCTGTTCATAGTTCGCATTCACAGCTGATGTCATAAATGTTTCAGTTGGAATTGGACGACTAAATGGGAATAATTCTTTTTGAAATTGATTTATTTTAGCAGTTGGAAAAAATTTGAAATTTGATGAACTATGCTTCTGAAAGTGGCGCAAAAAGCGATCCAAATAACTAAATCCTTGTTCGCAAATGTTGCAATGATAATGAAGACGCTTTTTTAACTTGCAAAATGGTCGACTGCATAATGCAACAAACATTTTTGCTGGTAAAATTGAATCAATTGATGGTATGATCGGTATAAGCTGAAAGATATATAAATGAAAAAATTTGCATAATGACAAGGGATAAAGTTCAGCATAAATTACTGATAATTTTTTCCTTTTTTCTATTAAACTAATTAAAAGATAAATTAAATGAAACAATTTAATCGCTAATATTTGCTAAGTGTTTTATGAAAATCAAAAAAAAAATTGTATAGACAGAAGCACATATTATAGGAATTGTATACAGTAATTTTTCAGACGAGGGTCAACGAAACAAATTGATTTCATTAAATTTCAAGAAAAAGAAAGAGTAAAATGCAAAATTCAAACAGCTCAATGTAAACAATTAAAATTTAAAACGGAAAAAGAATAACAAATTGCGGACTTTTGGAATGAGTAAGTTTGGCTGAGTTATTCCGATTTCCTGATTTTCGATATCAACGACAGATAAGCTGCAAATTAGCATATAAATAAAACATTTAATAAAGTTTCAATGTCTATTACTAAAATTACCACATTTCATTGGTTACAATTAAATGATTAAAAATTACCAAGAATTTGTTATACTAGAGTTAACTGGATTCTTGCCATCAGTTGCATTTTTTGAAAATTCTTTCGCATCATTTCGATTTATTGAATCCATTTTATAAGCCTGAAAAAGTACAAATTATTTTCAATTCCTTTGATAATATGCATTTTTTTATTAAAAAGGAATTTGAAACTCAATTTATTTCCTCCATTGACAAATTTCTATGGAAAGACAATTACCGATTCATTATTAGAGGCACTTTCTTGTGATATTAATGAATTAATGTGACGAAATGGCGTCAGAAGAATGTTAGGATCAATTTCATTACATCCATTTCCGTTGCATGACAGATCACATTCTGTGAAACAGATCGTCGAATTAAGTTGCTCCTGAAAATGTCAAAGATACTCTGTCAACTTGCGCAAACAAGAGAAAGTGGAGCAAAAAAAAAGTCTATCGAAATCAAAATGATAAAAAATAATGTATCAAATAAAACTGGCATTTTCTGCATCTTGTTAATGAAATAATTAAATCAAAATTTGATAAGTCTAATTATTAAAAGATTAAAATTCAAAGAATAAAATATTGATTATGTAGGATGAAACCCTAAGAAAAACTAGGAAAAAAGAAATTATTTCCCATTTGTAATAAACTTATGGAGTGATAGATCAACAAAATTTATAAATTGGTTAAATTTAATTATGAAAAAGTCACTTACTAATTTAAACATTATACGTGAAAATTTGTATGACACAAGGGATTTACCTTTAATGATTCTTCCGTTGATAACTTATCCTCCAAGCGTCTTTTTCGAGGAGTTTTATTTTGTGATATACTGCTAAATTGTTGTTGTTCATGTTGCTGTTGTTGTTGTTGTTGTTCATGTTGTTGTTGTTGTTGTTGTCGCTGTTGTTGTTGCTGTTTTTCATGAAGTCGAAAACAAATTTCATCCAATTTTTTCATATTCCTGCAAAGGCTAAATCAGAAGAGAATTCACTTTTAATGGTTAGTGACGGAAAAAGTCATTGTCATTTATTGGTTTCCAGGACATCCTCCCTTTTTTCAGCTTTCAATAATACCAAATAAATCATTGCTTCAACAAGTAATCATTAAAGGAAAGGAAGAAAAAACTGTTTCATATAAAATATTTATGCTTATATATTTTTCTTCCTTTTGAAAATTGAGCATAAAACTTCAGTACTAACTACTACTACTACTACTACTACTACTACTACTACTACTACTACTACTACTACTACTACTACTACTACTACTACTACTACTACTACTACTACTACTACTACTACTACTACTACTACTACTACTACTACTACT